GGCGACAGCCAAAAAAGCCAACGCAATCCTTAATTGCATTAACAGAGGGATTCAATCAAGATCAAGGGAGGCACTAATACCACTATATAAAGCCTTAGTAAGGCCACACCTAGAGTCCTGCATCCAGTTTTGGTCCCCACACTATAAAAAAAGATGTGGAGACTCTAGAAAAAGTGCAGAGAAGAGCAACCAGGATGATGAGGGGACTGGAGGCTAAAACATACGATGAACGGTTGCAGGAACTGAGCATGGCTAGTCCAGTGAAGAGAAGGACCAGGGGAGACAGGAGAGCATCTTCCAATATTTGAGGGGCTGCCACAGAAAGGAGGAAGGGGGTCAAGCTATTTTCCAAGGCACCCAAAGGGCAAACAAGGAATAATGGATGGAGAGGAGAGGAGAGGAGAGGAGAGAAAAGAGAAGAGGAGAGAAGAGAAGAGAAGAGAAGAGAAGAGAAGAGAAGAGAAGAGAAGAGAGAGAAGAAAGGAGGTCAAGATATTTTCCAAGGCACCCGAAGGGCAAACAAGGAATAATGGATGGAATCTGATCAAGGAGAGAGCCAACAGAAGAAGGAGAGGAGAGGAGTAGAGAAAAGAGAAGAGAAAAGAGAAGAGAAGAGAGAAGAGAAGAGAAAAGAGGAAGAGATAAGAGGAGAGGAGAGGAGAGAAAAGAGAAGAGGAGAAGAGAAAGAGAAGAGAGAAGAGAAGAGAAGAGAAAGAGAAGAGAAGAGAAAAGAGAAGAGAAGAGAGAAAAGAGAAGAGGAAGAGAAGAAGAGAGAGAAAAGAGAAGAAAAAAAGAAAGAAAAAAAGAGAAGAGAAGAAGAGAAAAAAGAGAAGAGAAGAAGAAGAAGAAGAGGAGGAGAAGGGGGTCAAGCTATTTTCCAAAGCCCCCGAAGGCCAGACAAGGAATCATGGATGGAAACAGATCCAGGAGAGATTCAACCTAGAAATCAGGAGGAATTGTATGACTGTGGGAACTGTTAACCAGCGGAACGACTTGCCACCAGAAGCTGTGGGGAGCTTCATCCCCTGGAGGCTTTCAACAAGAGACTGGACTGCCATCGGTCAGAAACGGCGTAGGGCCTCCTGCTTGGGCAGGGGGTCGGACTAGATGACCTCCAAGTCCCTCCCGAGACTCTTCCTCCGTCATCTGTATCCCTCTGTTGATGCCATTTGGCTTCCAAGGAAGCTTCAAAACCTCCTGCTGGTCCTGCCAAGAGGAGAAGGTGCGGCAGGGAGGCAGGGAGGGAGGGCAGGGCAGAGCAGCGGCGGGGCCGGGCCAGGCTGGGGAGCTGGGCGGGTTCGCGGCTGGCTGCGGCTCTTCCCCGCCGGAGCCCGAGCAGAGCGGAGCAGAGGAGAGCGCAGCGGCGGCGTGGTTCCCAGGGACGTCTCGCCTCTTTTCTCGCCGCCCCCGGGCAAAGCAAGCAAGCGGGGCTGCCGATCGGGCGCTGCGGGGCCAGGTGTCCGAGGCCAGGTAGGGGCTCCGCGGAAGGGCGCAGTGGGGCAGCTGCCAGGCTGGGCAAGAGCCGCTCCTGCGCCCCGGGGAAGCGCAAAGCAAGGAGCTCGGGGCTTCCACGAGGGAAACAGACAGGGAGGGAGGGTGAGGGGGGGGTCTGTTGTGGGAGGCACGGATAGCTGACCTCTGAGGTTCCCTACCCTTTTTTTGGACCGTGGAAGAAGCCGCCTTGGGGAGAGAGAAAGAGGGTCTCCCCAGGCTTTCCCCCATTTAAAGGGTGGGCGACTACTCTTGAAAGGCTCGGATAGCTGACCTCTAAGGTTCCCCCCCTTTTTTGGACCGTGGAAGA